GAACTTCTACGATTGTAATTGCATTCTGCCAGGTGACACATTCTGATGGTGAAGGGTGTTCTGGTGCAGCTCACAAACAACTAAAGACAGTACCTGAGTCATAGATAGGGCTGGGCTAGCCGTGGGAAGGAACCAGGGGCAGGAGAGTTTGGCATCAATAGTGGCAGCACTTGGATAAAAAGGAATTGGAACTCCTGGAGGCTGAGATCTGCTGCTGACTCTGACACTGATGTGTCCCTGCATTGGTTCCTGTGGGGGTCTGCAGTGTTCTCAGTGGAAAGGAGAAGGCTAGCCTGGGCCCTTTCCATGGTTGACTCTGACCCAAAGCTGTGCTCTTAGGCAGGACAGAGGGTGTCCTTTGCCCCAAATGGGACCAGAAACAATCATGTCCCACTTTTGGCCACTTTTCACTTCCTCATCTCACAATCAAATACATCACTTCCTTTTTCTCCCAACCCCATGAAGGAATGAGTCAACTCTGGGCATTAGAAAACCATCACTGAATTCTCTTGTAGGGCAGCAGAGAGCTCTGCAGAGAGCCAAGGATGGGTTGAGGAATGCCTCTTCAGGCTGGGAATTCACAGACAGCCAGGTAGGAGGAAGAACAGGAGACATCATTCCACAGTCCATCGGTTCGAAGGACCACACAGTCCTCCCCCTGAGCCATGGTCATTAGGCTCATCTTTCTTCCAGTTGCTGTAGGTCAGTCTCCCTCCTGTCACATACACAAACTGGCCTTCGGTCACTTCATCTGTGATGCCCAGGAAGAGACTGTCCTCAGCCACATGCTGGATGGCCTCATTCTCTGCAGCATTCTTGGGGGTGGCCACAGTGGCCTGGAGCTCAGTGCACAGAGCCTTCACCTTGGAAAAAGGCATCTTTTCACCATTGGTCACATAGAGTTTCTTTCCAGATTTTTTGCCCAAGGAGAATGTTTGCACTGAAATCACAAAGGAGGGAGGGGTTGGCTTGACTTGGAGCTCAGCCCAGGACAGTAGGCACAAGGGCCCTTGACTGGGTACTGAGGTCTCTGGAAAACAGCCTGTGCTCAACCTCCTGACTAACTGAGGTCAGGTCCCAGGAAGGAAGAGCTCCTCAGTGGTGGAGTAAGGTTCTGGCAGAAAGACTGGTTTCTCCTGGCATATCCTACCTTTGAGACAGTCCATGTGTTACAAACTGGGCTGGTGCAGGGGAACATAGAAAAACACACTTAGGCCTAATGTCATGCTTGGACACCAGGATAAGAAAGAGGCATGGACAGCTGTCTGTGTACAGTGGATGCTGAGGAAGGAGCAAAGATTCCTGAGTCAGCCAACCTCCATGCAATCTTTCCTTTGCTGCTTCTCTGCTGTGTGCTGTTGAATGAATTATTTATGATTCCTGGCCCTGTTTTCTCTCATCTATAAATAAAATAAGTATAATTCCCAAAAATAGCATTGGCGAGAGGATTGGATGAAACCATATAATGAGAAAATGCAAACCTAGCCCAGGCCTTGGTGTGTAATAAGTATCCAGATATGTTAACTCCCTTCCGCCCTTCTGAAATCCTAGAGCAGTCTGAAGAAAAAGGCAAGAGTTAGGAATACAGTGTGCGCAGAAAGAAGGCTTACGTTTTTTCAAGTGGTACAGTTGGGACTTCAGGTGCCTTATCTCTCCCTCTAGATCAGCTAATGTAATTTCAGCAACTGACAAGCAATAGGAAGAAAGGCATTTATTGAGCCAAACCCTTAATTGGTGGTCATAGTACTTTGGGGGAAAAAAAGCTTTTTTTCAGAAAAGTAAACTTTCTGGAAAATATTATTTTTCTGAAAACTAAGAAAAAAGAAAGGAGAGAAGGAAAAAAGTGTATCCCTGCCTTCTGAGACATAATTCATTTGTTTTGTAAATTATAATTCTGAAAGTAATAATAATAATAATAATAATAATAACTTCTAAATAATAGCTCTGGATCGTTTACTTCAAATACTTTTTATTGATTATGCCATTACAGTTCTATTTATCTCCTTCATTTCCCTCCACCCTGCACAGCCCCTCCCCCACCATTCCCCCCTTTAGTTTATGACCATGTGTCTCAAGTTCTTTAGATTCTATATTTCCCCTACTATTCTTGCCCTCCCCCTATCTATTTTCTACCTACCGTCTATGCTACTTATTTTCTATACCTTCTTTCCCCTTCTCCTTCCACTCCCCTGTTGCTAACTCTCCATGTGATCTTCATTTCTGTGGTTCACTCCTGATCTAGCTGTCCTCTTAGTTTGCTTTTGTTTTAGGTGTGGTTCTTAATAACTGTGAGTTTGCTATCCTTTCACTGTTCATTTTTTTCATCTTCTTTTTCTTAGGTAAGTCCCTTTAACATTTCATATAATAAGGGCTTGGTGATGATGAACTCCTTGAATTTGAACTTATCTGAGAAGCACTTTATCTGCCCTTCCATTCTAAGTGAAAGCTTTGCTGGATAGAGCAATCTTGGATGTAGGTCTTTGGACTTGGAATACTTCTTTTCAGCCCCTTCTTGCCTGTAAGTTCTCTTTTGAGAAATCAGCTGACAGTCTGATGGGAACTCCTTTGTAGGTGACTGTCCCCTTATGTCTTGATGCTTCTAGAATTCTCCCCTTCATTTTAATCTTGGGTAACATAATGATGATGTGCCTTGGTGTGTTCCTTCTTGGGTCCAACTTCTTTGGGACTCTCTGAGCTTCCTGGATTTCCTGGTGGTCTATTTCCTTTGCCAGATTGGGGAAATTCTCCTTTATTATTTGTTCAAATAAGTTTTCCACTGGTGGCTGTTCCTCTTGCCCTTCTGGTACCCCTATAATTCAGATGTTGGAATGTTTAAAGATGTCCTGAAGGTTCCTAAGCCTCTCTTCATTTTTTTGAATTTTTGTTTCTTCATTCTTTTGTGTTTGGTTGTTCTTTTCTTCCTTCTGGTCCACTCCATTGATTTGAGTTCCAGTTTCCATCCCATCACTATTGGTTCCTTGTGCATTTTCCTTCATTTCACTTAGCATAGCCTTCATTTTTTAATCTAATTTGTGAGCAAATTCAACCAATTCTGTGAGCATCCTGATCACCAGTGCTTTGAACTGTGCATCTGAAAGTTTAGCTATTTCTTCATTGGTTAGATTTATTGGCTCTGGGGCTCTGAGTTGTTCTTGAGCCATGTTTTGATCTGTTCATGCCTGTTACATATGAGGAGCAGAGCCTTAGGTGTTTACCAGGGTGGGGCCAGCCAGGTCGCTGGTTTGTGACAATGTATGTGGGGGTGTGGCCAGAGAGGGGCCACCCAGGTCGCTCGTTTGTGACGTTGTACATGGGGGCGGGGTCAGAGATGGACAAAGGTGGTCCCGTCTGCTGCTTCCTGCAACTGGGCCCTGCATGGTCTGTCTCACTGCTCACTCCTTCACTGGTTTATCTGCCCGTGAACGTGTGACCGCATTCAGCCCTCAGTGGGTCCACCGCCTTGCGCCCTCAGTGGGTTCGCCTGCTACTCCATACCTGGGTTGGTCGGATGGATCTTTCCTGCCCAATCCCACTCTGCTGCTGGCTCTGCCCCTCTTACCTGTTTGGCTGAAGGGTTCATTGTTGTCAGACTTCCATATAGTTCAATTTTCTGTGGTTTGGCTGCATTATTGTTGCTAAAACTTTGTTGTTTTTAAACTTGGTTGTGTGAACAGGCACAGTGCTTCCACCTATGTCTCCATCTTGGCAGAAGTCTCAAATACTTTAAAGAAATAAAATATTATATTTGCTTATTATAAAAATCCTTTCCTGGCCAGGTGTCTCATTTGGTGGGAGTGTCATCTCCTACAACAAAAGTTTGTGGGCTCAATTCAGAATCAGGGCACATCCCTAGGTTATGGGTTCAGTCCTAATTTGGGACACTTACAGGAGGAAACTGATTGATGTTTCTCTGTCATATCATTGTTTCTTTTTCTCTCTCTCTAAAATCAATGAATATATTCTTGGGTGGGATTTTTGAAAAGCTTAACCCATTCTCCAATGGAAAATATTACTTTCATTCTCCTTTATTTCTTTTTTTATTTTTTAAAATATATTTTATTGATTATGCCATTACAGTTGTTCTATTTAACTCCTTCATTCACCCCACCCTGCACACCCCTCCCCCACCATTCATCCCCTTTAATTTATGACCATGTTTCTCAAGTTTTTTAGATTCTATATTTGCCCCACTATTCTTTCCCTCTCCGCTATCTATTTTCTACCTACCATCTATGCTACTTATTTTCTGTACCTTCTCCCCCCTTCTTCTCCTCCCACTCCCCCGTTGCTAACCCTCCATGTGATCTTCATTTCTATAGCAAACTCACAGTTATTAACAACCATACCTAAAACAAAAGCAAACTAAAAGGACAGCTAGATCAGGAGTGGAAACATAGAAATGAAGATCTCAAGGAGAGTTAGTGACAGGGGAGTGGGAGGAGGAGAAAGGAGGAGAAGGTACAGAAAATAAGTAGCATAGACAGTAGATAGAAAATAGATGGGGGGGGGCAAGAATAGTATGGGAAATATAGAATCTAAAGAACCTGAGACACATGGTCATAAACTAAAGGGGGGTAATGGTGGGGATGGGGGGGGTAAGGTGGAGGGGAATGAAGGGGGGAATAGAACAACTATAGTAGCATAATCAATAAAAAAAATAATTTAAAAAAAAGAACCACACCTAAAACAAAAGCAAACTAAGAGGACAGCTAGATCAGGAGCAGAACCATAGAAATGAAGATTTCCTTTACTTCTTATTCCACACAATTCTTTAACATTTTTATTATTGTGGTAGTCCAGTGGACATGTGTTAATATGAGGTTATCCTTTTTCTTTTCGTTGTTACATATATAAATACTTTATTTCACTTTGAATTAATTACTTTATTAAATTATTTTAATTATTACTTTATGGAACAAGGGCTGTTATGAAGCAGTCCATTTTCCTGCAACTCTTGAGACAAAAGACTTAAACTGAACACCCCAGAAGACCCATTTCTTCCCTCACATCCTGGAGCCTCACATTGCACTGTTCCAGCTGATGAAGCACAGGGGTCCATCTTCTACAATGGCCTGCTCAGGGGGTGGCTGACAGGGGTGGGAAGCCTGTACTCAGGCACCCATGGGAATCCCTTCAGGCCCCAAGTAAGACTGGGAGGAATGAGAGTGTTGGGTCAGGAAGCAGAGGTGAGCATCTGCCAGTGGGGCAGCAAGAGAAGGGTCACCTCCCACCTGGCCCTCAAGTTCCCAGGGCCCTGGGTCCCCTTAGCCCACACCATGCTGGGATGAGGTCCTTACCTGAACTGCCTCCACGATCTCCTTTTTGGCCCTTGAGTCCTGCTAAGCCAGGAGCTCCTGGAATTCCTGGAGGCTCCATTTTCCCCGGAGGGCCCTGCAAGCCTCTGGGCCCTTGCCCTGTTGGAAGATGAAAGAAATGCAACCCTGTGGCTGTTGCTCATTCTCTTCCATCAAAAGCCCTGCACTAGATTCACATGAGTGCAGAAACCACCAGTACAGTAGTGGTGACCTGAAAACAAAAGACCCTCCTGCATCCCAGGACCAGCTACCCAGACAGGCAGACACCCCTCGTTAGGGACAACCACACCTCATCAATTCCTGTGTGAAAAGGCAGGATCCAGGAGAACCACAGAAGCATTTTTGTTTTGAAGAGAATGAAATTGTACAGGAATTACTCTGTTATTCATCACCCATCATAATGGAAAGTGAGACTGCTCATGGCTCTGTGCTAGATTCCTCACAGGGAACAGTCTTCTCTCGGGAGTAGAGATTTAAGAAGTCAGACCAGTCTGCTTGCTGTACCTGGTTCTCCTTTCTCTCCTTTGGGTCCATCTCGCCCATCTCTGCCTGGAGTGCCATTGGTGACCGGGATGCCACAGGTAATCATTGAACAGGTCTGGGCATCCTCACAGGATTTTATTTCTGAGCAGGACACTGTCACCACACACAGAAGGACAGGAAGTGATAAAAACTGGAACATGGTCCTTACCTAGTAGTGGAGCAAGTCAAGAAAAATAATTTCATCTTATCTTGTTTAGTCAACATTCACTACCACCTCTGGTATATTGGACCCTGTGCTCAGGACAGCACACCCAGAGGGGACATCACAACCCTTGGCTCTGAGTTACTCCCAGGCTACTGAAGAGACAGACAAGTAAAATGTGTTAGAATTAGTTCAGTGGTAAAGGAAAGGTAGATGCAAGAGGACTGTAAGAGGAGCCTGTTCTCCCTGGGCCTCAAGTGCTCCTGTGGGTACAGGGTATAAGGCTAGGAAGTTCCTATGCATGAGAGGCTATGGGGCCTGGGCATGACAAACTAGCTCTGTTCCTGGTGGTCTCCCACAAGGGCAAGCTCATTGCCTGTGTGAGCTTTGGCTCCTCTCTCAACTCCATTTTTTGAGGACCAGTTGAGGCTGTATCTCTCTTCTTCTCCTTCCTATGGGCCCTAGATCTAGCCACAAAATATAGCAGGTGACATGAGGTCCTACAACACCCATTTCTTGGTGGGAGCTGGTTTATGACATCCATTGTTCCATTTCACATAGAAATTTCTATTTTATACTTTGGGGCTCCACCTACCCTCAGAACCTTAGCTGTACTCCAAGAACCTGTCATATATTTTGTCTAAAGTCTCTTTAGACAGGCCCTTGCTGGGTGTTCAGGACTTAGAACACCCTGAGGCAGGGCTCTGAGCCTCATATATAAAAAAACAAACAAAGAAACAAACAATCTTTTGACCATTGATCCTGGTCTCATGGGACCTTTATTTGTTTTATTCCTTTGGTTTGAAATTTTCTACTGTGAGATTTTTTTTCCAGCCAGAACCCAGGCTCCTAAAATTTCTGTTCACACTTGGCCTGGTAGAATTTCAGCTCCTGCCAGGATTCTCTGTATGCTACCCAAAGGTTACCCCACCTCAAAGTTGCTCTCATTGGCCAAATTTGAGCATCCAAATAAATAATAGTATAAATGGTTTATAACACATTAAATAAAAATAATTCACAAATTCATGCTCTATCTCCAATATTAGACATAAAAATTGGATGGGTGAAAAAGGGAAACTTTTGAAGAAAATGCCAACTAATATATGTCTTTGTATATTGATTCATTCACTTAAATTTATTCATTCATAATTGAAAAGGAGTATTTATTTTATTATTTTAGTGACCAATGATCAAAAGAAGAAAAACAATAGTGACCTAACCTCTTCATTTTTGTTTTTCTTCTGCTCCTCAAGGAACTGATTAGAAGGATGTGAATGAGTCCTTTGGTTTCTATTAATGGTTCCAAACCAAGAACAAAATAGGTATCAAGTAACTCAACAATGTAAGTTGATGCACTGGACCACACCTCCGAGGTAAGATTTCATTGAGAGGCTGAAGAGGCCATTGGAAAGAGGCACTAGTGTGCTGTGGCATTTCCTATTACAAGTGAAGCCCAAAGAACAGCTTCAATAAAACTGCTCGGAGAGTATGACAAGAATTTCCTGGAATTTAGGGAGAGAGATTAACGTGATTCAAAAGTTGAAAGGCTGCTGACTTTGCCTGATGGGTACATGGCTTCACTGGGAACAGCATACACTAGTGATTTTTAAAAATTGATTTTAAGATAAAGAGATGAGAGATTAGAGAGAGAGAGGAAGAGAGAAGTTGATTTGTTCTACTTATTTATGCATCCATTGGTTGCTTTATCTGTGTGCTTGGACCAGAGATCAAACCCACAACCTCAGCATATTGAGAGCATTCTCTGAACATCTTATTTACCTGTCCAGAGCCTGCAGCTGCAGATTTAGCCCAGTGGTGGGACAAAGAAACTATTACTGTGAGCCATACAGACCTTGTGGGAGGACACTGGACTTGGGTGGGCTTAAAAGGGATGCAGGCCTATAGGCCTGACTAAATGTAAGAAGATAACTCAATAAAAGGGAATTTTCCCCCAATCATAGACCCTGAGGAGAAACTGCAATGACATATTTGAGGATGTGTCTGAAGAAACCAGTAGAGGAACTGCAGAAGGGAGATCTGAAGTGATGAATGGTGTTCCAAACACCCATGGGGACACTTCCAGAGAGAAGAGCCAACACTGGTATGCAACATCCATAGCACCCAACTGACAATCACAAGGCAGACTGTGATTGCTCCTCTTGCTCCTATGCTCCAACTACCTCAAGGGGCCACAGGCAGCTGATAGGTAATAGAAAATAAGGGTGGGAGATGAGATACCAAATAAGTTTTCTTTTCCACAGCAGGCTCCCGTTGCCCTGCTTGATAAAATCAGACATTCTGAATAGATAAAAGTTTACAGTTTTAGGACATTGATCAGACTGGACTGGAAAACATCACAAGGAAAACCTACTCAACTGCTTCAGATTTCATCCAGGCCTAGGGTGGGAGACAGACAACAATCTACATGGGGAGTGTATTTGGAGAGGGATGAAAAGGAATAACGCTGGTTTCAGTTCCTCTTCAGGAAACTCTAGCTTCTTTAGGACTTCTGGACAAGATGGAGGCATAGGTAGCTACACTTTGCCTCCTTGCACAACCAAAAGAAGGACAACAAATTTAAAAACAGAACTGCCAGAAAGTCAAACTGTATGGAAATTCAACAACCAAGGAGTTAAAGAAGAAACATTCATCCAGACTGGTATGAGGGGTGGAGAGTGGAAGCTGGGGCAGAGGGGATATGTGGCAAGGTGGTGACAGGAGGTCTGGGCAGGCAAGGCAGCAACTGGTGGTCCCACATTTGTATGCAGATAAACCAGGAGAACAACTGGGGAGCAAGACAGACCACACAACCCAGGGTTCCAGCACGGGAAACTAAAGCCTCAAAAACCTCTGGCTGTAAAAATCTGTGGGGTTTGAGGTGGTAGTGGGAGAAGCTCCGAGCCTCACAGGAGAGTTCTTTGGGTGGTCCACAGGGTCCTAGAACATATGTAACCCTCCACTCCCCACAGGGCAATGAGCACTAGAAGGGCCAATTTGCTTGTGGGTAGCAGGGGAAGTGACTGAAAGTGGAGTGAGAGCCAAGCAAGTGGCATTGTTCCCTCTCTGACCACTCCCCCACATAGCAGTGCCATAGCATAGCAAGGTAGGTTGCTCCACCCTGGTGAATACCTAAGGCTCGGCCCCTTACAATGTAGCAGGTGTGCTGAGACAAAGAAATATGGTCTAAATGAAAGAACAGATCGAAACTCCAGAGAAAGAACTAAGCAATGAAGATAGCCAACTTATCAGATGCAGAGTTCAAAACACTGGTAATCAGGATGCTCACAGAAATGGTTGAGCTCGGTCACAAAACAGAGGAAGAAGTGAAGGCTATGCAAAGTGAAATAAAGAAGAATATACATGGAAACAACAGTGAAGGGAAGAAAACTGGGACTCAAATCAATGATTTGGAGCATAAAGAAGAAATAAACATTGAATCATAACAGAATGAAGAAATAAGAATAAAAAAAAGAGTGAGGAGAGGCATAGGAACCTCCAGAACAACTTTAAATGTTCCAATATCAGAATCATAGGAGTGCCAGAAGGAGAAGAGGAAAAGCAAGACATTGAAAACTTATTTGAAAAAATAATGGAGAACTTCCCCAATCTGTCAAAAGAAATGGACTTCTAGGAAGTCCTAGATGCTCAGAGAGTTCCAAAGAAGTGGGACCTAAGGAAGCACACACCAAGGCACATCATAATTAAATTACCCAAGATTAAAGATAAGGATAGAATGTTAAAAGCAGCAAGAGAAAAGGACACAGTTACCTATAAAGGAGTTCCCATAAGACTATCAGCTGATTTCTCAAAAGAAACCTTACAGGCAAGAAGGGGCTGGAGAGAAGTATTGACAGTTATGACAGGCAAGGACCTATATCCAAGATTATTCTATCCAGCAAAGCTATCATTTAGAATGGAAGGGCAGATAAAGTGCTTCCCAGATAAGGTTAAGTTAAAGAAGTTCATCATGACAAAGCCCTTATTATATGAAATTTTAAAGTGATTTATCTAAGAAAAAGATCAAAATTATGAACAGTAAAGTGACAACAAATTCACAACTATAAACAACTGATCCTAAATATAAAAACAAAAATGAAAATGAACTAAGCAAACAACTAGAACAGGAACAGAATCACAATAATGTAGATCACATGGAGGGTTATTAGTGGGAATGGGAGTGGGAGGAGAATGGGGGGAAAGACACAGGGAATAAGAAGCATAAATGGTAGGTACAAAATAGACAGGGGGAAATTAAGAATAGCACAGGAAATGGAGAAGCTGAAGAATTTACATGTATGACCCATGGACATGAACTAAGCAGGGTAATGCTGGTGGGAGGGGGGTTGCAGAATGGAGGGGAATAAAGGGAGAAAAAAAGTGGGACAACTGTAATAGCATAACCTATAAAATATACTTAAAAAATAAAGGCCAATAATAGCCTAGGAAACCTGAAAACAAAACAAAACAAAACGAAAAAACCCTCTAGTTTGTTTAATGAACCAGAAGATAGAATATCATCTACTTAAATCACTTAACAGTGTCTGGCAGAGTGTGTTCCCAATAAACATTAATTTTATTATCAAAATACAGTAGTAATAAAGTACCATATTTTCCACTTTTAGAAGTAATGCAGTCTTAATAAAGATGATAGTTAGTCTTGACCAGAAAAATATCAACTGCCAAGCAGTTTGGCATGATTATAACCATATCTTTTACTACATCATCCTTTATATGCTACAGGAAGTACAAACATAAAGAGAATCTTTCCTAGTACTCTCACACAGTATTAACCTACACTGGCATCTGCTGAGTGGCATTTAGTCAAGTGGCTTTCAACTTGCATTTACTGTCTGTGGAGCTTGTAAAAATAACACAGTCCCATGTCTGAAGCAAGGCCGACCACATCAGGATCTTGTGGGTCTGGAAACCAGGCTTGTGTATTTTGAAAAAGCTCCTTAGGTGACTCAGTTGTGAAAGTAGGATTGAGAGTCATCAGCCCCA